AAAAAAAAAAAAAAAAAAAAACACTAAGAACTTAAAAAGCCATAAATTACAGTGACGCAAAACAAGATCCCTCTTATCAATCCGAGTGCCATGAGTAGCGAATCACAAATGTAGATAGCGCGGCGCAAGGTTTCATCAGTAACTGATAAGATGTGATCAAAGCATCAATTGCCTACCTGATTTGCCAATTGGGGGCTGGCCGAGTCTGCTGAACCACCTAAGAAACCGTCTAGCCGTGGTAGCAGCGGGTGGTCTGCACCCCTCGAGTATGACGACGCCATTGTTATTATTGGCAGCACCCCTATCAGGTGGTCCGGCCCGACTATAGGGTGACATCCAGGCGGTGGTGGTGGTATTCTGTATGGTGGTACCCTTGACAGTGGTGATGGAGCTGGTGATTTTCGCCGGGTGCGGAACCCAGTCGTCTGACGCGACGGGCATTTGTTTAACTTTCTCGTCAGCCAAGTCGAAGGCAAAACCACAGAATAGGAAAGTCATTCAAGACAATTTTCTTATTTCACGTCTCTCAGCGAAACCGATCATCAGGATCGACGAAAATCAGCCCCCTCGTCGTACGTTCCTGGTCGACGATTTTCTTTGTCTTGGATCCCAAGGTCAGCCAGCACTTTCGCCGATAACGTAATTTACAGTCGTTATCACAGCCGAGAAAAGAAATTGGTCTCAGAGTCTCCAGATCCGGATCGATACTTCCTGAGGCCCCGTCCGAGCGCAACTGTCGCCGAATTGACCCTGAGAGTAAACAAGGGGGAAATATGGCCCGAAGGTGGGGGTCTAATAGGAAATAGCAATGTGGTGGGACTTTTCGAGTCTTATCAACGCAGCGCGAGTTATCGCGGTTAATGTCACCAGCGGCTCCTCCAGTTTTCACTTGCGTAAGAGCATTCGCGCGATTACGTTCGACGAGTACCGACGGCCCTGCGTCACGTGCCGACGCTCTCTACTTGTTGCACGTCAAGATCAGTACTTCAAGTCGATAAAGAAATTTTGCAATTGTAATCACATTGAAAAAAATTTTTTCGTAGCGCTCCACAATCCTCGTCTCTTTTCCTTGACTATCGCCATACGGGGCACCAGAAATTACAAGACAGCCCTGAGGTCCCCGCTCGCACTTGTTGGTCCGTTAGAACGCGACTTCTGTAAGCGCCAGCAATAAAGCGACTTGGGTTCTTGGCGCGATGATCAGAAACGATATTAATGATCCTTCCTCCTTAGGTCCCTTTTTTTTTCGTTTGTCCCCACAGGTTATCGAGAAACAATCTTCCTGATAGCGAAAACGGTTTTTCATGTGATCCCACGTGGCTCTCCACAAAGCACTTTTAAAATAACGTTATCACAATTTTTGTGACAGGTTAAGCGTTATCCCGGCTTTTGTCACAGGCACAATTTCTCTCACAGCCACTTATTCCACACGGATATATATATATATGTATATAAACACGTAAGATCACTGATAACTCATTGAACGTATGATAACATCGTTCGATATTGATATCCTTGTGTGATACCCTAATCACAAATCAAAGTCGGTCCTCGACTGATAACAAAGTTCGCGAGGAATTCTGAACGTACGAAACTTTTGCGCGCGACTGTACCGTCCACCTCACGAAGATTCCGACCTCGGGTTGAATCGTCACCGGTGGCGGGAATATTTAAACTTTTAAAGCAAAATTATTTTTAACGCGCTTAATCCGCCAGATCGACAGATTCTTTAGGATGATAAACATTATTGCACTATCTCTTAATTATTGATCTTGTCAATTATTTTGGTCTATTTAAGGTACTCCGTTAGGGTTGAGTTAGATTGGTCTCAACGGCAATACTGGTTACGTGAACTTTTGACCTTCGGGCTCCAAGTCGGATACGAATATCGATTCGCTTGTATTGGTGATTTTTTCTTTAAAGGTCTCAAACGTATCTCACACCGTCGCACCTTGGTCCACACCGAAAAAATTTCGTATCGCTTGGACACTTGGTCGCAGCTCTCGCACACCTTGCGATTATGCCTTTAAGTACAATTAGACTTTTTCTTCGTCGTTTACGTACAGTCAGGCGATACGTTGGAGCTGGAACGTTCGCGGACGTGGAATAAGTGTCGGAACCCGCCGAGCGACCGTACCGCGTTATTGTAAACAGAAAAAAGAAGGCTTAAGGAAACTTCGTCGAATTCCAATAGCCGATGACAAGAGCCGTCAAAATCGAACTGTCCAAAGTAATACAAAGCAAGGAAACGTGGCTGGGTACCTTGGAACGAAGTCAGCAATATTTAACACTGCACTGTATATCATATACCAGTTCCGCGATCGTCACTTGAGAACGCGCCTTTAGGTCTCGGAGCAACGTCTGTACAAAACGGCACTCTGCTAGCCTCGTCTATTCCGAGCGACAAGTCCCAGAGTGTCAGAAGCCTGTCCACCGGTGTATATATCTATACAGAGAGAACTGCCAAGGCGAGTTTCCACGAAGGAGGCACACCACCGGCACTCGATGAAATCCAGTCCGAGTCAAAGTAAGTTCAACCAGGTTCCCGAAAGTTCACCAGGTATTGCGTCGCGTCTTAGCACAGCCAATAACACACGGTCACAGGACGTTGAGTAAGCCCATTGTAAACCAGCCAACAGGCCCGACTCAATATCGGCTCGTCCCCGCAAAGAATGCTCGGCCGGTCGCGTACTAGGCAGACGGAGTCGACAACGCCAGAACCACTTCTGGATCAGCGACCAGTTGAACGTGACCGTTCCTTATCCAAAGGTAGACACAATAACTGAACAAAACTTTCAAGTGAAACAACAAATTCCTACTTGGTTATAACGTCGTCAGATGTAAATTCTCACAATCATCCTTCGAACCCGTAACACTCGATCACCATTCGAATTAAATCACCGAAAAACTTCAACAATGCTTAACCTCAAAAAAAAAAAAACACCACCTTCCAGATGGCTCCTGTCGTACACAACCCCCGGAGCAACGACTGTCGCAGTCTTGAACTCGATTCCCGGTTCGTCCCGTGAATTCAACAGAGCCGCTTAACCCATGTTGACAAAGAAAAATGAGCGTCAACGGACTTCGTAGAGGAACGAAAACTCGAGAGAAACTTGGTAAACAAAAACTGTACACTCTGGAATCTCAACGAAGTTCTCGACCGGTCTCACGTTTCGAGTATCGACCACGAACTATCTCGCGCAACCTAGAAGGCGTCACGTATACAGAAGTCCGTCCGTTGGCACGGCAAAGACACAACTAGTCACGGCACAAGCAGTCTGGTACCTCGTTCCATCTCAGGCCAGTCCTCCTGGTACGTGCCTAGTAGGTACGGTCGGGGGCCCTACGTCACGGATCCGTGGCCGGACACGGAACGCAGCAGCCGTACGGATCGGCTCGAACTCGCGCGCAGCTCAACTGTCTTTCTCGGGTCTGGCAACGTTCGCGGCCTGAGTCGGGCTCGGCCTGGCGCGGAGACCGAGTCGACCGGCTGGATGGCTACCCCCACCGCTCGACGTCGAACGCTCTGGTTCACGGTGGGCTAGTGCCTATGCGAGCGACGATGGCTTTGGTGGTGGCGACTCGTAGTAACCAACGGTCTTCGAGCGTTTCTGCGACTGTGTGCGCGACGCCGGACGATTGTAGCGACTTTGATGATTGTTCTTCGCATTAGGGATGGAGCGGGGTCCGGGGACGATCGTGTGTGCGCCGATTTTTATTTCAAGTCGGATGGGGACGAGGGGGTAATGAAGTCAGTAGGTGTGTCGGGAATTAAGTGTGTCGCGCGGTATCGCTTTTGACGCACCTTTGACTTTATCTGCTTGTGTGATTCCGACGATTTTACAGATTGTTTATTATTATCCCCGAGTCACGTGACTCGCGCGCGGAAACTTCGAACGGAATTTGAATGGGCCTCTGGGTAATTCTGTGAAATGGATTGCTGTATCGTTAATTGGGCATAGTGTGGATTATATGTTACGTATTAGATACGATGTATGTTACATGTGGTATACTCGTCTATATAGTATATTATATATCATATGTAGATCATACATATCGATCAGATATATATTATTGTCATATCGATGCGAAAATTATTTTTAACAAAATGGCGCCGTGTCCACGAGATCGTATTTGATTTTTAAACGAAGGACAACGTATACATATATGTATACATATATCCGGGCGTTGACTTATTAATTTTGCAACGCGTAACGAAGGAAGGTCATCGCACGTCGCTGGAAATGGAAAGCCTCCCGAGTAATTACACTCGTTTCGTGTGCCCCGCCATGTTTCTTTTGAACGGGCAAAAACAGAAAGCGTGTCCGAACGGCTGAATAAGACGGCGTGTCTATTTGTTGCATGTGCAGTTTTACACTGGCATGATATTAAAGATTCTTCCTAGACGCAGGGAAGACGTAGGCGTCGTTAATGGCGCCGAATCAAATGCTAGAAATAAAAATTAAAAAAATAAATAAAGCCTCGTAACAACGCACTAATAAAACTCCTGTGTATAGTCCGAAACGAAAATTATCGAAATTTCTATCCTTTCGACGAAATTACACAGTCAGATCCTTCACGCCGAAATATCATGACTTTCACTGTCTGGATTTTCCTGCTAATTGGTACTAGGCTAATTGCAGGATGATCCATCTGCCGCACCTTCATTAAAATTCGACACTCTGTTTTACAGACCCCCCACCCTTCTGACGTTTCACTCGAAATGCTCCTTGGCACGGACTGTACTAATTGTCGCTTTGTAAAAAATAAAGAAAAAGGGTTATCGCGCTTATTCTTCTTTGCCTTATGCATTTTTATAACCATAATGTATATATATATATATATATCTCTAACCAGACTCGTATCAAGGTGCAAACACGATGAGTGTTTTAACGCATTATCACGTCCCGTTATCATTTATATTGCCGGCCTAAAGTCGCGTTTCCAGGAAACCACCGTATAAAAAGAGACCCCATACGGATAATCACATTTGCCAAAGAGACACTGTGCCGTTTGTGTATAAAATCAGCGTGCCAGTTCAAATTAGCTAAAGCGCGTAAGCACTGTGCGAAACGGTCTGATAAGCTAAATTTTTTTTCGGGTGGAAGAAAAAAAATATGAAAATACACAAAATTTATTTTACATTAAAACGCGAAGAAAATTGCATAAAAACAATCGGTCGACTAATCACGATTTTATTGTCTATTTGAATGAAGTTGTCAGCGATAAGGTTCCGAGACTACAGATTCATCTGTACGCAACGTTATCGCTTCGTTGTCTCGGCTTATATACGGAAATTCATTTTTACAGATAACAGACCAGTCACGTGTTTCTAATAACAGTGATAACTCGAGTGATAACGAAGACTGATTTTTTTTTTCCTTTTTAACTTCAAAACTGCAGCACGTGCCACGAGGGTGAATTGAAAGGAAAAAAAATCCTGTCACGCACCAACCAAATGGCTAATAGCGTAATTCGCATGCGAAAGTGCTCGCGGATATCTGGTACCACTTTGCAAAAAATGAACAATCACCGTCTCGTCGAACCGACTCGTGCCGTAGCCGGATACACTTGCTGTGGTTAATCAGTAAATTTTGCACGGTTTTAAAAAATATATATATATATATACGCGTTATTCTCGTCAAACCGGAAACTCAAAGAAAGTGCCGCACGCGTCGAACCGTTCACGGAATTGCGGGCGGCCGCGAAACAAACCACGGAAATGATTTTTGCCACGTAACGAGGGAACCAGAGCGAGTAGCCGGTCGAGCGATTTCGAATTTCAAAACGAGACCAGCCGTTAAGTTGACTGTAACGATTTTCGAAAAAAAATTTCTCCAAAAAAAAAATCTCAACCGAGTAAAATTTTTGACACGTGTCATACCGCGCAGAAATCGTATTAGCGTGTTCTCAAAGTTTAGTTTCTCAGAGCCATTGGCGATAATGACTGTACGAGTCGACTTAAATATTTATTTAAGATTGTCAAACCTGAGAATAAGGGGATTCCTCGTTATACGTGGTAACGGAACACGTGTGTGGCGGGAATTATAAATTCGATCGTCACGTTGATAAACAATTATCATGAAATTATCCGTGCGCCTGCGTGTTATGTAAAATGAGCAAATCAATCCTGCTGCGTATAACACGTAACGTCAATATTTACGTTCAATTGATATCCCGATATAGCGGCGTTAGATATAGAATATATATAAAAAAAAAGTACATAACAATGATTCGTATGTATCCGCTAATGAACATATAATAAACAAAGTTTCATCAATTGCACAAAATCAACATCCACTTATGATTCCCCGTAAGATTTCCTCGAAATGCAAAAAAAATTAACGGTTAATTTTTTTTCCACAAATTTAACAAAAAAAAAAAAATTGCACAAAATTCGTACAAAAATATATTTAACCAAAATCACTTCGAGAGCATCGTTTCGTGACGTTCGATAGATAAAGAGAAAAAAAAAATTATCATCAAAGAAAATTGAAGACCGCGTTCGGACTCTCTGCGATCTCAAACGTCATCGCGTAACTGGGTTAAACAGTCCATACGACTAATTAATGACTATCATTAACGGGGCCGACGAGTTCAACCGTATCCAGTGAACCATGACGGATTGCATCGCCGAGCAAAGCTGACTCGATAGAAAAAAAAAAAAAAATTATTTTTCAACATCCAAAACAAAGTATCAACCTCAGAAATCCTAGACCCATATAATCCCGCGATATCGTAGAGACAAACAAAATACATCGATTACGTCAGATGCGATCTCTAGTTTTATCAACAAAAAAATTGGTACACAAAATTTCCGTAAAGGGATTACGAAATCTACAAAAAAAAAAAAAAAATATTTAATAATATTTCTGTTACGTTCGCCGGCGTCGGACGACGTCGTAGTACCAAGCGTTAAATAACCAGGCGCCATAAGACGATCCCATGATGGCCGAGGCAGTTATGCAACCGCATTAAAGAAGGAAGACCATGTACAAACGTGTATACCTACTTAACGTCACATGTGTACCAGGCATAAATCCACCTACTTCTTTTACAGCAACGTAACGCCCAAGTGAGTTTAACCGATGCTGGAAAATTCTAGAGTCCGTTAAATACCCGAAATGAAAGGTAGGCCGTAAAAACAACGACAAAACTAAATTAGCAAAACAAACAATCAACGACGCCCGTCGCAATCGATTTATCTCCAGCACCTAATTTTCCCATGCGACATTATCGATCGCCAAACGTACCATCGAAGTCTCGACCAGCCAACGGATAATGAAGTGTCGACGATCGAGAAATAAAAAGTCCCTAGGAAAAATTCCCTAGACGCGCTCGTTTCGCCTCGAAGCTTCTAGAACTTTCGACGGTAAACCGAGGAGAAATTTTTTTTGACCCTAGTTATTTAAATGCGTTAACAAAAAATTCCCTAGGACAGTACAACCGTTATATATCCTGCGTCCTATTCCGCGCAGAGTAAACGACCAAGATACATCTCTTCCGCACGGTGCATCATCGCGGTTGCAACACTCGACGCTATAAATGTCGAACGGGACACTGAAGCCGTCGCGATTATTATTGCGATTACCGTGAATCGAGTCTTTAGGAGATATATATACATATATACACAGCGCGCAGTCTCGCGAATGAGATTACAAGCCAGCAAGTTGCCAGTAGTTATACCGCTATCCGTGCAGCAATGGGAATAAGAGTACACCGGGTGAGTTCAACGTTGACAAAATATTTTTTCTCTGAGTTGGTACCGTTATAGAAGAAAAAAAATTCCCTATATAATAAAATCCTCAGTTACCATTCGCTGATAGAAAATTATTTTTTCGCGTTCAACGAAGAACGAACGAGACGTGTTTGCGCGAGCTTTGTTTGTCGCTGTCTAGGGACTTTTTTTCTTTCTTTCGTTATTACCACATTCAACCACTCGAGACGGCCTCTCGTACGTGTTACGAAATGCCGTATCGTCGGGTGACGTACACTTGACCCAGAACACCCACGAACCAGCTGGCAATAGGAACGACGGCCATTTCCCCTCGATGGCTGGCTAAGGTGTTCCAGAAGTTTGTGCAGTTGCCAGCACTGCTGGGATTCACTGCGCGGCTGCAGTTGGCAACGGTTCAAGACGCAGTCCCGGCCTGAGTGAAATACTGCATTAGTACTTTTTTTTTGTTTTTTTTTTTATACGTTCTATCGAAGTGAGGTGGGCGATATTATTTTTTTTTAATATATGTCTGTGTGTATGTATATATATATGATCACGAGTCTTTCACGTAAATCAGCTGACTATTCGCTATAAGAGTGAGAAAATAATTTTTTTTCCCCTATTTCCGGAAAATACGTCAAATTTTGTAATTCCCTGTCTAAAAAAACGTGCTATTGTTATTATCGTACGTTTAATCGGTCCGTCGAACCCGGTGGGCCATTGGTTAAAAAAAATGACTTACGTAGCCGCACAGAAAGGAAACTTGAATTACGCGCTGCGAGAGCGTGCAATCAGTAACGTAACGCGGCAATCGATTTTTTTTAAATTATCAACAATAAAAAGGCAACTGAGAAAAATTATGGAAAAAAACCGTGACGGGAAATCGTGACGTTAAGATTCACGCCAGTTGGGTAAAAGTATATACATATATATTATGTTTACCATGGATCCCGCAACAAGTTGTTCCGAGGCTTGTGGCATTATCCTCTAAGAAAAAGAAAAGAGAAAAAAAGGGGAAAAAAATGATCGAGCAAAAAATCCAATTCCTCGTAACAACGTTTTTATTGCCAATTGTCAGCAATAAAATGCAAAACTCTCGGTTTACTTCGAAAGTAAAGAAATTTTTCGTGCGTCGATCGTTCCGCTACGCGTAACGCAATATGCAATATTTTTCAATATTCATATGTATATCATAGAGAATCATAAAGGCAGTACATGCAAACGCACCAGAAACCGGTAGCAAATAGCGCAAGGATTTCCACTCTGATAAAGTTCGACGTGCACGCGACAAGACGGCAAATA